CGTACATCTATCACAAATATTGACGACGGGAACGCTTCCACCTGATTCTCGGAGTGCCTTCATCGAAACTCTTTTTGAACTTTCACCACTGCCAATAAAACTTCTCTTTTCTATCGCATTCTATTCTTTCGATCGCTTGTCTCTGCTACCCGGATTCGAGCGTTTCAGCCCGATTCTTTTAGTTCACCGCCGGATAGGTGACCGTTCCAAGGCGCACTTCTTTCCATGCGTTCCCTTCTCTTCGCCCGACCTACCCGCTACGTCCCCAGAATGTGGTCTTCGTAGGAATGCTTCTCTTCGGCAACTGAATTTTTTTGCGCAAAACTTCGTACGCTTTCTCTACTGATCCCGCTGATATGTTCATGATAAGAAATGAACGATTTATTTAGCAACCTTGCGTGGGAGATGGGTAATAGGTTGCCTTTATGTCCCCGTTTCCTTGAGCAGTTTCAAGAATAATTCGAAAGTTCTTCTCTATCAGTAATGCTCCAAACGCTTCCATCACCGAAATCGGAAATCTTCCTCCCTTCTCTATAGGCTACAGTCCTGTAGTCCCGCGCAGTCGCAGGGTCCGCTGTTTTGTCAGTCGTCGCCACTTTGTCTGTCCAGGGCATCTCTGCTGTGGCCATGACTTCACTTAGGTCCTTCTTGATCACGTCTCTCCACCTCTTCTTTGGGGCTCCTCGCGGTCGCTTGCCTTGTACTTCGAAGTCCATCGCTGTTCTTATCGGATGGTCCTGTGGCCTCCTTAGCACATGCCCATACCATCGCAGACGCTGTTCTCGTACCTTCAGCTGGACAGGGGCAGTCTGCATGACCGCTCTGACATCCTCGTTTCAGTGGGTAAGAAGCCACGAAAGGCAGCTTCACTCCGCCGAAATGAGGATGCTGAGATGGGCCTGCGGCTGGACGCGACTGGACAGGGTCAGAAACGAGGATGTCAGAGCGGTCATGCAGACTGCCCCTGTCCAGCTGAAGGTACGGGAACAGCGTCTGCGATGGTATGGGCATGTGCTAAGGAGGCCACAGGATCACCCGATAATGAACAGCGATGGACTTCGAAGTACAAGGCAAGCGACCGCGAGGAGCCCCAAAGAAGAGATGGAGAGACGTGATCAAGAAGGATCTAAGTGAA